ACTAACTTTTTACATGAAACAAGGGTTTTGGAGTTTTTACAGCACATATCAAACAATGTTTCATACATACATCCTACAACTCATAATTTTAAAGGAAATGCAGCTAAATAAGGAGGGAGTATAAAGTAATGTGACCTTAAAAAAAAATGATATTTTTCCACAATTTCTTGAGAGCTTTTTTTCTGAAAGCTCCCATATTATGCAAAATTCACTTTAATAAACATTTTGTAATGGTTATACATGCCCTGAACTTTATATTTCCCTGCTGAGTTCTTTATTTCTGTTATCTAAATCCATTTCAGCCCCCTTCTTCTAACCCCCAAGGCATTTTCTTTTTCCTAATGGTGATCTTTATTTGTTATGTCATCCACTGCTTGTTGTAGAAGCCTCTTTAAGGTAACACAGACATCGTTGGTAGTTTGCATGGTGGAATTGTAAGTCACTTTGGTGTCGTGAGTCCCTGGGAGCAGACTACTTTCTACTACTACTTTCAGTAGCATGACTTTGTTTTTGTCCCTTCAGCATCCCCCCTTCTATAGTTGATATATTTTTAGACTCAGGTAAAAGTTTAGGAAATAAAACTATTTCTTTTCTTATACAAAACAAAAAAGGAGAGAGAGAGTATTATAAAGGGAAGCTTGCAGGACGGAGGCAGGTAGACCGAGACATTTTGAATAGTGTCTCGCTGATACAGGTCATCCAAAGATCACATTAACATAAAGCCAGAAGAAAACTGATTAATGACATTGTTATAGAAAAAACTGGATCTGATAAAGAAACATACTGGCTGTAAGCAGTAAGATAGTAAACTAAAAGCTCAAAACTAAATTAAACTAAATCAGTGTGCAGTTAAATGTTTTGAAAAATACATAAAGTGTATGCTTTGCAGGGGAAGCAGATGAAGGCCGGATTAGGTAGCAATGAAAAACTCGAGAACATAAAAAGGAAAACAAAAATAAAAACTTAAATTGGTCTGAAGATCAAAATGAACACAAGGAAAAACAGTGCTCCCTTGATCTTTTTTTGCGTGGGTCTATTGAGAATTTCTCAATAGGCTGCTTAAACCCACCCGCTAGGCAGTCTAATTTCCCATGTCTCATTCATTCCTAATTATCCCCTGCAGCACAACAACATTTGTAATTGATTAGATCATTATATCCAGTATCTGTCCACAGGTCTTTCCAACTGGTTCCGCTCAAGGGAAGTAACATTATGTTGTTTTTGCGATTGCATAACAAAAGTCCAGCATGCCTTTTTAAATATAACTTAAAACACAAAGTTCAAACAAAATTTTTTATCTAACCATTCTATTTAATAAGACATTAAATCCATTTGTTTTTAATGCAATCTATTGTATAAGAAAAGTAATGAAAGTACTGTATAGTAGTGTGGTTGAATGCGTTTTTTAAGGTTTTTTGGTAGACCAATCTTTGTTTGAGTTGGACTCAAGGTTTGATTGATTGGTTAAAACAGTGCGTTTGTGCTTCTGAGAAGGTTACAAGTACCCGGTTCGATTCCCACAGCATCCACTCTGGGTCCTTTGAGCAAGATCCTTAACCCCACACTGCTTTCCGGGCGCTACACAATGGCAGCCCACTGCTCCCCAAGGGGATGGGTTAAATGCAGGAGTAAATTTCTCCAATGTGAGGTGAATAAAGTTAAATTATTATTAATAATGCTGTAGTTCCAGCAAATGCTTAATATTAGATCTTCACTAAGTGGAAACTCCTGGCATAAAATGATTTACAAAAAGCTATTTATTTGTATTAGCTTTGGTGATTTCTAATAGAGCTATGGAAAATTCTAAATTCATTTTACTGTATGGCATTAATTCAAATAGAAAAACTCTTAAAAGGCTTTAAAATCCTTTCAGTCCAGTAGTAATTCATTTTGCTTTTGTACTTTTTTTAGTCACAGACTTTCAACTCAATTTTACAATAAATACTCATTTAAGCCTTTATGTTTAGAAATTGCTTTATCTCTTTCTTACATTGTAAGCTTCACTGCTCTCATGCTTTTATATGCTTATTAATATGGCAATGTATGTTCCTACACTTTTCTTTTAGGTTTGATCATTTATTAAGACTGTGTCTTCATCAGAAAATTATTCCCTCTTAGATTTGAAGTAGTAAATAGAATTATTTTTTTTCTGTGGGGATGAGAATAATTACTCCTATGTGAGACCGATTGATTTCTCATGCTGTAATATACTCCATTGGGGGTTATTTGTCACATTTTCTTTTACTGAGGCTAGCAGCCGACCAGTAATAACTGCTGATGATAGTCACGATCACTATGAGCCCATATTTCCCTCTTGTGCTGTTGATGCGGAAACTCATTTTAGTCAGTTGTATTTCTTCTTTGACATGCTTTAAAAGATCTCAAAAGATATAAAATGTTGGTATCCTCTGTGTGCATGTGTTTGTTGTTTACTTTCCCGTTAAAATCTCCAGTTCAGCTCCAATATGTGAGTGTTCTCAAACATGTGTTCATGAGCATGTTCTCATGCTTCCGACTACGACTCATGCTTCACCACAGCTCTTTTGTTTTGTCTTTTTTTTTTTTTACAAATCTTTTATGGACTTCAAATTGTTTGGGGATTTTGAGACCATTACAGAACTGACACAGACATAATGGATATCTCTCTTTTTTTGTGCTCATGAGGCCATTTTTTTTTTGTATGAAAAGGGTTTAATAAAGTGAGTATGTATTAGAAATCACAATTATATAACACATGAAAGAAATCAACAG